AAATGCCAAAAGTCTTGAAATGGCAATAATTCATGGCACACATTTTAACTTTTAATTATAAGCTAAGCAGAAAAATGTTAGAACAGCAAATGATACAAAATAAGACACTAAGGCAAAGAAGGAAGGGAGGGAGGGAAAAGATGACTGAGATAAATGTGTCACTATACCTCACTGTTGTTGTTAAAAAAAGGTCTTTCTATCTCTAATCTGCTTCAAAATCTGCCAGATAACCACAGATTCTTGATAAAAGAAAATAGTTTTGAAATGTGAAAACATTCTGCCTCACAAATAGCAGGTTGCCTATATGCTACATAAAACAAACATACATATTTTATGAATCCAAGCTCTTAATTTTCACTTTGAAGATATTTGTAGTAAAATGTCCAACTGTGAGCAGTTTGTATCTTTTTTTCCATTCTTAGGTAATCAACAAATATATTTTGCTATATTTGTTAAGACTTTTTTTTCCTTAAGGACTTCATATTTATCCAAGCTGGTCACCCATTACATACATAGAAGCATCAAATTACTCACAAGGAGGACAGCCTTTTTACCTCTGACCAGAATGTGCTTCCTCATCTCTCCTAAAAAGGCCCAAATAATAATAATGATGATGATGATGTTGGAAGGGACCTTGGAGGTCATCTAGTCCAACCTCCTGCTCAGGCAGGAAATCCTAGCATGGTGTTCCATGCAGAAATGGGCAACTGTGGCCACAGGCAACCACACACCCTCCCCATGTAATGGCCCTGAAAACCTCTTGAAAGGAACAGGGCTGGAATGATTTAGAACTGTTTTTGTTTTGTGGAAGTTTGTGGAGGAAGATGATAAGGATCAGATGGGGGGCTTATGCTTTCAGAGATTTCTAGGCCAAATAAAAAAGACTGTCTATTTTTAAGTTATCTTCATGCAAACAGAGGTTTTCATATCAGTCTGGCTATAGTCTGGCTACAGAACTATCTGTTCTAATCATATGGAAATTACATGGAATCTACATGCAAGTTTAATTTTTCTTTTTTTAAAGTATGTATCTATAGGCAACAAAAATGCGTATAGTTCAGGCCATGGTTTTCCCAGTTGCAATGTATGGCTGTGAAAGTTGGACCATAAGAAAGGCTGAGCGTAAAAGAATTGAGGCCTTTGAACTATGGTGCTGGAGAAGACTCCTGCGAGTCCCGGCGTTCAAACCGGTCAGTCCTAGAAGAGATCAACCCTGACTGCTCTTTAGAAGGCCAGATCCTGAAGTTGAAACTCAAATACTCTGGCCACCTAATGAGAAGGAAGGACTCACTGGAAAAGGGCCTAATGCTGGGAAAGATTGAGGGCAATAGAAGAAGGGGACGACAGAGAATGAGATTGCTGGATGGAGTCACTGAAGCAGTAGGTGTGAATTTAAATGGACTCCAGAAGATGGTAGAGGACAGGAAGACCTGGAGGAACGTTGTCCATGGGGTCGCGATGGGTCGGACATGACTTCGCAATTAACAACAACAACAATCTATAGGCAATCTAGGTAAACCAACCTGTCACAGGGGCCTTGGATGTCACCACTCCTCAGTAATTTCATACATATATATGGGCAACATTGTACATCCTGTATACCATATGCACTTAACAATGGACAACTGCTGCAGCCTGTGCCTGCCGGCCCAGGACATAACAATTACCATTATGTAAAAATAAGGAAACATGCATGTGTAAAAGCCTCCCAACACCTTGAGTATGGCCCACATACTTGGAACTGAATTGGAAAAAGTTGGAACTGAATTGCACTTTTTATTGTGAGAGGAAGAAAATACTACACATGTGTTCCCATGTGCATTTAATTCTAATTAGGTTGAAATTTAATGTATTCAAATTTAAATACTCTCTCTCTCACACACACACACAGACCTTCTATTTCTTCATCCTGGCTGCAGCTGCTGACACATAAATATAGCTCTCATTATTCCTCACAATTGTATGCCCTTCATGGAACCCTTACATAAGCTCTACAGCAGTCTGAGCCTTATTCAGACATACAAATGAATACAAGAATTTTCATCTAATTATCCTGACATATGCTGGTCTTGGCCATTGACATGAATGAGGAAGCCTGAAAGCGATTCTCTGTCAATTCCTTGAATATAAGTAATATTCAAGATTCAAGCTATTCTTCTGCTATCAAGATCTTTGAAAAGGAAAGTTGTGGGTGACATAATATGTTCTACTTATCCTGAAGTGAATAGAAATATCCTTTCAGACTTGCTGCTAAATCCAACAAGATTGAGGATGGAGGATGGAGTTTGGGTGCTCAGTGTGAACCCCATGCTCCTATAACTACTTGTATAGCGACACATCATAAGTTGAACTAAAGGCAACTATGGTGAAGCTATGAATTAGCATCTCATTGAATTCTATGAGACAAAACAAAGTTGTCTGACTTTAATTTCTGAACAGAGATCAAGTTAACATCTCATTGCAAATGCAGCTTTAGTGGAGAGAATTGTCCAAATTAATTGTAGAACACTTGTAGGAATTCATTGGATTGTGAATAATTGAGTAGAATGGAAGCAGGAATTACACCATAGGAGAAAAAAAATTCTACCTTCCAAATTCATATTACATTAGTGATCTGGGATGATAAAATGAATGCTCCTTTATGAACCCAAATTTATTTCCTGCTTGCTCTGTTTCTAGTCTGGTTAGAAATCTATAATTAAAAGTTTAAAAAGCAGGGTGTGGTGACTGCACTTTGCTTTATTGTGTTTGAATTAAGCAGCTTCATTGTAGATATCAACTATTAAGCAGCAGCATATCCTGTGGCTCATTTAAAGATGATTTCTTATGGCTATAGTGTGTGTTTGTGTGTGTGTGCACTGTACACACATGCATGCATACCTTTAGTCAACATTGACTTCTGGCAACTGCCTGGACAAGTCCCTGCAGTTTTCTTGGCAAGATTTTAGAAGAGGTTTGGCATTGCTTAGTTCCTAGGGCTGAGAGTGTTTGACCCAAGGTCACCCTGCCAGGTTTAGGCCTAAGGTGGGACAAGAGTGAACTGTCTCCCTGTTTCTAATCTTAACCATTACAACAAGCTTGGTCTTTACAGCTACAGCTGATACTCTATAAATAGCTGAGTTACAATACTGCTTTCTGAACAAAATATGGTCATAATATAGCAAGAAGTAAAGTGAACATCAGTGAGGGTTGAATGTCTGAGATCTTTTTAAAATTATGTTTCATGAGAAAAAAAGATAATCAACAGTGGACTGCATGTGCATTTCACCACTTAATGTGCAAAATTGGTTATCTTGTTTTATATCACCAAGGGTTCTATTTCAAATTAATACAGTGGGATGAATGCTTTTTTTGTAACTATAGCTCAGCACAATTACAATAACTGTATAGAGGCCACTGCTTGAGATGCATATTGGCCAACTGAGAAAGACTGGCTCCATCTCAGCTCTTTGTTTGAGGTCCATGGTCCATAATCATGGGATCTACAATCCCCTACTATCTATTAGTGCCTTGTGAACAAGGAAAGAAATTTTAACGGGAGAAGGTCTGCCTGATGATGTTCAGATCTGAGGAACTGATCAGATTTACATACTGAACAACTAATTTTATTTTTCAGATAGGGGATTTGAGGATCTTTATACCAAAATTCAATCTAGGCAGAATCACTGTTCCAGAGTAGAATAGTCTGGAATCGGATGCCATCGATTAGAACAATTATTTGTTCTTCAAATAATCACGTACTAAGGAAGAAGGAAAGAAAAAACAAATGTCTACTGCTTTATGATCCATAGATTTTGCTTCTAAAGATGGGGAAAAAAATGTAAAGATGGACAGTTGGCAATCCACAAATCTGATACAGTCTCCCTCCTGATTATTTTTTCTGGTCCCTGATATCCCTATGAACATTTCACACTGTGTGGTCTATAATAGGAAACATTGAATCCTTGTTGAGAGTAACTTTATTAACAGGGAATAATGTGAGTGTGACAAAAATTCACCTCCCACATCTTGAAAAAAACAATGATCACCAAGGGCAGATTATTTAATAAGACAAGGGAGCTTGTTTCAATAAGTGTGAATACAAATAGAGTGAAGTGATGATCACAAGGCAATATGTTGTTCAAAAGTTATACCCTGATGCTAACATTTGTGCCAGCATATCTAGCTACAATATATAATGATGAGACAATCCATCATAAGTATTATTTCCAGATCTTAATATCTGGTTGTATATATTTAAATGACTAATGTTTTTAAGTGGAGAAAAAAAACTATTTATCAGCTAAAATGAAAACATTATTGCATTTAGCAATAACACTTACCATTTTCATATGTCGTTAAAAGCCACATAGTAAAAGTTTGATCAGAGATAACAGACCCAGTTGGATCTACTAAAAATGCATTATAAAAACAGTGGTGATACATTTTTGTGCACTTTTTACTCAAGTAGCTATTGAGTTATTCCATTTTTTACTTTCATATTTGAAATCACTTTAAATTGTTTCCTTCTAGTGAACAATAAAAAGCAACAAATCAAACAACTCCTCTCACACAAAAATTATCTTGTGAAAAGATCAGTAGACATGGGTATTTCTTCAGTACATCTAATTCCCTCCCCCTTTACTATAGTAGCACTTTTTGGGCGAGGCATTGTTGGAGCAAGAATATTTGTTACAGGAAGATCCTACTGTCACGGCACTACCCTGTTTGGGATTTATGTTTAAGCAATTCATATCAAATTCTACAGGAGCCCTAGAATATATGACATCAAAATAAAACATCATGCTAAATCCTGCACCAACAAATGTAGAGCAGAATAAACAATACATCTTTGAAAGACTTCAACATAAATCTCCCTTCTCATACCACACTATAGATTGTTCCCTTGTTGCAATTATTGTGTACACCTGGACAGATACAGATTGTTTGAAGGCCAGATACAGAAAAGTTTAGTCTAGCTGTGAATAGCTTGACATTTTAATAAAAGTCAGTTGTTACCAGGGCAGTGTGATTGAAGAGGAAAACATTTTAATGCAGTTCTGGGAAGACTCTTTCTGTATCCTTCTCTCTCTTTAGAAGGGACAGAACAGTGATTCAATTTACTGTGTTTTATAATACATGTGGTTTTCTAAATGCCTATTGCCATTTGGTATTGTAATTGATTATAACTACTACAAAACATCTGGCATGTACTTTGAACATTATAAATATGTATATTTATGTTAAATGTTTGTTTCTCTTTCTGAAGGACTGTCTTGCATTTTGCTGGATCTGTTGAGAACTTCTTCACTTTCTTTGTGGGTCAAAGGCTCCGCTTCCTTGGAATCAGCATCCTTTAAGGCGTTCTGCCTTTCATCTTCTAATTTCTTCTCTTTTGCCAAAAGTCTATAATTGATTGCATTTCCAATGAACAGCCAAATGCTTGAAACAACAACAATTATACCACAGACAAAATACATATATTTGTAGTCTTTGGTTATGTCCACAAGCAAACCTGAAAGATTAAAAAGAAAGAAAAAAAGAAGGTAACCTCAGATAACAGAAGATAAGTTTCCCTTCTTAACAATTGGAAAGAAGGGGTGCAGAAGCAGAAAATGTTTTTGGATGTTTCAAAAAATGTTTTTGGATGTTTCAAGCATACAAATTTTTCCTTCAAAAATATGTTTCTGTTTTTAATATGCATGTATCCATTTCATTGAGGGCTCATCAGCATTACGGTTGTCCTCGGGGGGGCGGGTAGGTGTGGCCAGGTGGGCATGGCCTACAGGATGGGCATGGCTGGAGTGGGAGTGGCCTACTGGGTGGGCAAGGCCAGCTCTACATTGTTCATGTCAAGGGTGCCTGTGGGGGCCTGGGCAGGAGTGGGACAGATCTGAGGGTCTCTGGCAGAAGGGGGTGGGACCGGGGCAAGCGCCATGGCATGCTCCAATGGAAGAGCCTCATTGTTCCTCTCAGGCCATGCAAGGGGGGGCTGGATGGTGCTACGGGCTTCCCAGAGCCCTGGGCAGCAGAGGTCAAACGCCCAGCCAGGCCCTCAAGCACCCACGGCACCAAGCCCAGCCTCACTACCACAAGGGGCTGCCCAGCTGCACTTACCTCCTTCTCAAGGCTGCTGCTGCTGCTGTGCTTTGCTCTTCTTAGCCAGGTTGCTCATTATGGGTATGAGGGCAAAGTCAGAGGAAGGCCGACTCCCTCTCCATGGGAGGAGATCTGGCTTTGTATCTAAAGTTTCCTTAGCAATAGGATGGGAGACCCCCAGGATAGGCCAGGAGGAGGGGGCAAGGGGATGGTGAAAGGGCAACACTAAGGCAGGACTTCCTTCACACCCTCCCTATCCTTCCTTCCTTCCTTCCTTCCTTCCTTCCTTCCTTCCTTCCTTCCTTCCTTCCTTCCTTCCTTCCTTCCTTAGAACAGAGTGGTGGGAAAATATTTGAGATGAGGGAGAGAGAAAAAGAGGCAAGAAACGCAACTGGGGAGGTGTCACCCTTCATGAGGAATGAAGAAATGCACCATCGCCTGGAAGTGGCCATCACATGGCCCTCGCCTACTTCACATATCTGGCTTGGTGGGCTTTGGGGGAGGGGACGCCATGAGCAATGTGAGAGTCAACATTACCTGTGCAATGCCATCCAGCCCCCAGCCTGCCTGGTTTCGGCAGGCAGCGAGGTGCTCTCCTCACAGTGCCGAGAGGCTGAGCCAGGCAGCACGAATCCAAAAAGAAGCATGATTCCACTCAGTCCCCAGCCTGCCCGGTTTCAGCAGGCAGCGGGGCGCTCTCCTCACAGCGCCGAAAGGCTGATCTGGGCAGTGCAAAAGCTTGCCAGCTTTGCACCTTGCTGCCTGCTGAAATCGGGCAGGCTGGGGGCTGAGCGGCAACACGCTTCTTTTTGAATTTGCACCGCCTGGCTCAGTCTCTCAGTGCTGTGAGGACAGCGCCGAACTGCCTGCTGAAACCCCTCCCCCAGAGCCCATCAAACTGGATATGTGAAGTAGGCGAGAGCCATTTGCTGGCACGTCCAGGTGATGATGCATTTCTTCATTCCTCGCAAAGGGTGACATCTCCCCAGCACGTGCCCAGGGGGCAGGGCCAACATGCAGGGGCCGGTCTCTTGCTGTTTCCAGATGGCCTTGTGGAGCCCGCAAAGTGGTTTCATGTGGCCCATGAAACAGTGAGGGAATGGCCCCCACTGCCTTGGCCCTGGCCCAGGCCATCCGGGAGCCAATGTACAAATTTGTGGTGGCCATCTATGCTGAAACGCATTCAGTCTTAGCTCCACAAGGCTGTCCAGAAACAGCAAGGAACCAGCCCCTGCCACATTGGCCCCACCCCCTGGGTGCATGCTGTGGAGGTGTCACCCTTTGTGAGGAATGAAGAAATGCACCATGCCTTGGCGCTTGGCCCAGTCCCACCCCCTTCGCCAGAGACCCTCAGATCTGTCCCACTCCTGCCCAGGCACCCACAACACCCTTGATGCGAACAATGTAGAGCTGGCCACGCCCACCAGTAGGCCACACCCACCCGGCCCCCTGAGGGCAACCGCAATGCTGATGCATCCCTCATTGAAATTGAGTTTGATACCCCTGCCATAGTCTGATAACTCTCTTCTTACGTGTCAGTACTATCTGGTCATTGCTAGAAAAGCTATAGTTTTAATAAATAGCTACTTTTTGTAGCCAACAAGTAACTAGGAATTCTGGGAGTTGGAGAACTGACAAATGTGAAGGCACTTGACTGGGGAGAGCTGATTAGAATTATTATAGTAGAGTCTTGGGAACTGAATGTGAACTTGTGTAAATAAATAATAAAAGGTATATCACATATACTAAAAGTATTCTTAAAATGTCTTAGCAAAACTCATGTATAACCTAGGAACAAAAAAGAAGTCAAAAGTCTTAATTCCAGAAAGATAGATGGATAGAGATGTTACATCTCACCAGGGAGAACTATGTTCCTTGAGTTCTTTGTAAGCAAATAAAAAAATAATTCTTGCTTATAATAGTAATAATAATAATAAGGGAAGAAGGTACAGATGTTAGAGAGAAGAGAATCTCCTTTAACAAGAATGAGCAATTAATTGAAAGTAGGATCTATTGGAAAGACAGGAAATATATTGGACATCCTAAAATATAGTAACATTTTATACTGATAGAAAGAAAATGACTAAATGAAGAAGCATATGGCTAGAGATTGAATCCAGGAAGCAGTAGGATTGGAATGAAATGAAATGGGGAAAGTAATTGCATATCTTTGCACAAAGTACCAGGTCAATGTTTTGGATACACATTTTTATTATACAAATAGTATACAATGTCAATTGTATCATCATCACCTTCATCATCTCCATACTTACCTCCCATAGGTGGGCCTAAAAGGACAGGACAGCACTCCACAATTGTGACGAGTCCTACTGCACTGGAGAATCTTGGCGCACCAACAAGATCCATCAATGTCTCAAAAAGGACACTGCTAACCATTCCAAATGCAAGTCCAAAAAGTACAGCATACACAACCAGGCCTGGATAGGTTTCAGCCAATGGGCACAGGATGTGGCAGACTCCATTGTACAAAACAGCAAAACTAAAGAAGTACTGGATTTTGGGCCGGATGTATTTGGAGTTTGCAATTAAACCCATGGATGGCCTGGCAAACATATCTACAAAAGCTAGGATAGAGAGTAAAAAAGCTGCCGAATATTCATCAATTCCTTTGTGCTTGGCATAAGGAGCTAAGAACACAATTGGGGCAAAGAAGCCAAGAAACATGATAACATTTCCAGACAAATAAATCAAAAAGCCCCTGTGTTTGAAGAGGGTTAAATCTAAGTATTTGTTGATGGTTTGCCAGACTGATTTCTTGTCATTCTTGTGCAAAGTGGAATCTCCAGTTGCTTTTTCCACATCTTTTTTGATGACCTGAATAGGTTTTGGTCCAACAGGTCTCATAAGTGACCCAGCCACACAGCAATTTAAAAGAAGTCCTCCCAGAATGAGGAAACTTCCTTTCCAACCAAAAGCATTAAAAAGAAACTGATTCAAGGGTGCCAGAGTACTTAGAAAGACAGGACTTCCCGCCATGGCCAGTCCATTAGCAATGGGACGCTTTTTATAAAAATATTTGCCAATTATCGTCAAGGCAGGTTGCAAGTTGAAAGCCAAACCCAAACCTAAAACAATAGAAGAAAAAATAGAACTTTACTGCATTTAATACACTGCAACAAATCTCTCCAATTAATCAAAATTGCCTCTCTGATCTCCCCCAAATGTGAAAATGCCAACTTGTAGGCATTTGAAAGGCCTTGCAAAAGAGCCACTGGCACTGGCAGATAAATACAAAAAGGCATTGCTTCCCACTTGTTTTAATGTCACCAATATGCCACAGTAGATTTCACTCATTTTCTTCTATGGAGATGCAATAAAAGCAAAAACTTTAGCAATGGCCAATCCAAGTTGCAGACAACAAAATAACAGGGGAACAATGATAACAAGACCTTGAAGGCATTGTTTGCATATTTTACTATGCTACAATCCAATTTGCCCTTGGTTCATTGCATAGGAGTTATTAAATGTCACTTTTTTATAAAGAGGGCAGATTTTAGAAGTCTAAATCCTCTGCTTTTAGCTTTATCCATTGCTTAGGTTTGAATAGGAACACATAAAATAAGCTTCAAATGTTTTCACCGTGAAGTCTGGAAATACACACTAGTTTTCTCTATGCAGATACAAGGATCTCTGTAGGTAAAGTAGAAGGGACTGGCCCAAGCATGCAAACAGTCAATTCACCCCACATATCATTATATAGCATTAGATATAAAAACATCAGGGAACCTATTTTTCCCTATTCTACCCCCCTCTATTATTAAAGAATTTTTTTAATGAAAAAATATATAACTTAAGATAGTGTGTTTGTGATAATGAAACAAGTTTTGCTTTGTTTTGCTTTAGTTATATGTTAATAATATGCCCTATCATTTCCTAAGTCAACTTTATTTTTCAATTTTAATTGTCATAATCATAATTCAAATTTTCATCAGAGTTGTTATAGATCTTTCTTTGGATATAAAGGTATCCTAAAACGTGTTCTGCATTGACTTAATTTGTATTTCTCCTATGGGATTTCAGCATTGGTAGGATTCAAATATGTGAACAACCTGTTCTCTGTGTGGATGCCACTTCCGGAAGTCCATTCTGGGCCTGGGCAACAAAAAATTAGCTACTGGTTCTGCCGAAATGGTGCATACTGGCTGAATCCCACCACTGGTTTTCAGACAACCAAGTCACTATGGCTGAAGTTGGTATGCACAGACTAAACAGGTGAGTGTGCTGCAAAAATTCTTTAAAAAGGCAATTAGTTTAAGCAGAATCTTGGAGCTGGTTATGATCCAACTTGCCCAAATTGTGTATTTGAAGTTACACAAAAATTGTAACTATAATGTCATATATAAATATGGCATATATATATATATATATATATATATATATATATATATATATATATAATATATATATGATTTATATATATATATATATATATATATATATATTGATTATATATATATATATATATAATATATAATATATATATATATATATATATATATATATATATAGTGTATATATAAATTATCAATCATGGACAAACAATCATCATGTGTGAACCAGTGACAATTGCATAAGTATGTTTGGTAAAGTTGCTGCAACTTTCCAGAAAGTAGCTGATCAACAAAAAAATATATGTTTTGAATATATTTATAAAGCTATCAATGCTTTAACTTTGAGAATTCAGTGAAAGGGAAATTTTATTAAGAGGGACCACATAGTATATGTTATATTTGGGTTTTAGTACATTGTTTCATTCCATTTAAGTCTGCTTCAAACTTTTTAGTTAGAACTGCCTATTCATCAGATGCCCCAATAGGCCATTTTTAGAATAAACTTGGTAAAGAAAATGGGTTTTTGGCATGTTCTCTAAACTGTGAATTCTTTATAAGGATACCTATAGGGTAGAATACTGAGAAGCTAAAAGAACCTGTATAAAATTGAAAGTCAATGATTATGGTAAATATTGCCAGGAACCAATCAATTATTCTCTTGTAATTGCAAAGCATTGCTGAAAGAATTATGCAAACCTTGCAACATCCTAACCTGAATGAAGGAATGAACTAATCAATCAATTAGATACAGAATCCAAAGGTGAATGCTGAAGGAGAACATCAGGAGAAACAAATAAAATGATATTGTTATATTACCTCCAATTATACCAACACATAGGTAAAGTTGCAAGACGCTGTTGCAGAACGAAGAGGTAATCATTCCAAATGAAGCCAGTATCCCCCCAGCAATCATGATTGGCCTACTGCCATATTTGTTCACCAAAATACTGCTTATAGGGCCTGTGGACAGGAGAAACAAAAAAAAATTGAGCTATTTTCTGAAGATTAAAAAAGAAACATGGATCTTTTCAGTGACTGAAATAAAGACTTTGTGCTTAGCTCACAAAATGTTCACTATATACTTATTAACATCACTCACTATTGACACAACATCAGATAAGCATGCATACACTCTGGCAACCCAATCTATATATGCTGGAGCTTTTTGTGAAGCAGGATGAAGCAATTGGATACATATAGCAGGGCTTTTCAACCAGTGGTACGCATACCACCTGTGGTACTTTGCCACATGGCAATTGTACATGATTGCTAGCCAAGTGTAACAGGGGAGGGAAATGAGCCAAAGCGAGCCAAGCCTGAGGGAGAGGCAGCTGCAGCTGCATGACTGTCTGGGATTGGCAGAAGCCCCAAGAGCTGGCAGGGCTCCAGCTGATTGGCTCCAGCTGATTGACGCTTACAGAAGCAGCTCAGAGCTGGAGGTGAACTGAAGAAAAAGGGGGGAGGAGAGGAGAGGCTATAAAAGGAGGTGATTTGGGGAAGGGAAAAATGTCAACAGGAAAGGTTTAATCCCTTTAAACAAATGTAATTAGTTTTATCCCCTTTAATTGAGTCTGTCTATGGCTTTTAGAAAGTTTTCTATGACAGTAAACAGGCTTAATTTAAAGCTAAAGCTTTTTACAATTGCTGGAGCCTTTCAGTCTAGAATTGCAACATTGTGACACGTGACATGCCTGAGGTAGCTTAAAGACAAAAAAAACCTGGAGTTTGTGTTTCTTGCTTTGCACTTGATTCCTGTGTCTTTAAGGGTACAGGGAAGGGATTGGGGGTGCATTCTTACTACACTATGAAAAAGCTCAGAAGGGAGAGAGGAAGAAGGGCCGACCAACTAGCTCAGGAGTCTACAAACTTAGAAACTTTAAGACCTGTGGACTTCAACTCCCAGAATTCCTCAACCAGCCATGAGGGCTGAGGAATTCTGGGAGTTGAAGTCCACAACTCTTAAAAGTGCCAAGTTTGAAGACCCCTGAACTAGTGGTGCATATTAATAAACATGGATAAATTCATCAAACATTTGTCAGTGCAAAGGGAAAATGATTCAGCAAAGGAACAGCCACCAAAGATTTTAAAACTGGTACTTTTTTCTTTTTTTCTACAGTTTGTAATATTTTATTAGATTATAGAATAAAATACAAAAATACAAAAGCAAATAGTAGGACACAGTGGGGAGGAAAAGGGAGAAAAAGTGAGGAAGAGAAGGAAAAAAACCAGACTTCCTCTGTTTGCAGTAGAAGGAAGCATTAACACTGAACCTCAACTTTTTATTTTTCCATAATATTATAAACTAGCCATTTCTATAACAACAAATGAATCTAATCAGTAAAACCCAAAATCCCCTCTTTTTTTAGTCATCAAGTTTTTAACACCTTGCTAAGCACTGGTGGTACTTAAATATTGTCATGTCCTAAAAGTGGTACAATCTGTGAAAATGTTGAAAAGCCTGACATATAGCACTATGAGATATGTGTCTGGGCCACCTTTCCTCCCCTACAACCAGGATAGAGCAATTCCATTGGCATCCTGAGAAGTGTTCCATCTTACTGTCTATCAGGCATAATAAGATTTTGGCAGTATGTCCCTTTGCTTTTTTCCCATTGCATGAAGTTTATTAGTTGTAGCTCCCCTTCCTCCTTCTTTTGCCATTCTTTCTACCCAAAAGGATAAATTACAGCTAGATATGGATGCTTACGTTAAGACAGGTGTGTGAATCAAAGAAATATTGATTTGAATGACATTGTCAGGACCACTTCAATACCTCATCCCAAGAAAGCAGAACTCATCGAAACAGCTCTTCCAAAAGGAGCTTTTATTAGGAGAAGCTGATAGCAGGCATACTAGACAGGATCTGAGGGTTTCCCGTGTAGATTGATAGGTTAAGTGTCCCCAAGCAAACCCCACCCCATAGTTCATCCGGACAGTTCAAACCAGTCAATCCACAGGTGTTAAGTCTATCGTGGGAAAGGGAGATAACATTGGGTTGGCTCTGGTTGCCGCAGCAATGTTTAAATGACTCTTCGCACCTTCTCTTGAGAGTGGAGAGATAAGCCAGTTGCCGGAGGTTGCATTCCTTTCTTCCTCCCCCTTTACTAGCTGACAGTTTAGGGAGAAGAAAGTACAGAGAGAAATAATGCAGGAAAGCAAAGTGTTACATTTTAGCGACAGAGGAAGCTAAGGCAATAAACCCGTGATCCCTCCCCCCTCCCCTCTAGGAGTATGGCAGAACCCAGGGAGAGAAGAGAATGGAATTTGGGTCAGAGAAGAAGAGCAAGGGAAATATGAAATCAAATAGATATGGGTTCTGACATCCTGCCCCCCTTAAAAATATGAGAGATCAATCTGTTGAGAGACAAAACAAATATTGAGAGGTTAGTCTGGTTTGTTAGTGTAGTCTGTGTGAAACTTTCTTAATAAGTTGGCGGCTCTAATGTGACATTTGTGCACCCATTCATTTTGGGAAGAGGGAAGGTGCTTCCACGCTGCTAGGTATTGAGTCGCTCCATGGTATTTTCGGGAGTCAAGGATTTCTTTTATTTCAAAATGCTGCTCCCCCTCAACCATAATGGGAGGAGGCATTCGGGCGATGGCTGGTCATAACGGTGATCGTTGTTCTCATTTTAGCAGACTACAGTGGATGATAGGGTGAATCTGCCTGAAGATTTTTGGTAATTCTAACTCTACTGTTACTGGGTTTATGATTCTTTTGATGGTGAATGGTCCCACGTATTTCAGTCCTAGTTTCCTGGATGGCTGCAGGGATTTTAGGTATTTTGTGGATAGGTAGACCATTTCCCCTACAAGGAATGGTTTTGGTTCGACTCTTTTCTTATGTGCTTATGCTTTATAGGCCTGTCTAGCTTCATCTAGTGCTTTTCTAACTACTGGCCAGGTGTTTTTTAATTGTGTGATCCACTCCTTCAAGGAGGGAATGGCCGGTGAATCTAAAGGCAAACGAGTTGAGGTTCGAAAGGATATCGACAATGGGAAAAATGAAGGGAAACATGAGGAGAATAGACCTAAAGAAATAGACCGACAAGATTGTTGGTGGAAAGAGGGAAGGAATTACAAACTCAAGAGTCTAGACCGGCAATAGTAACCAGATCCAAACATAGATAAGGAGGGGGAAAATGGTGTAGAATCCATATCTATCAATGTTAATGGCCTCAACTCTCCAACAAAAAGGAAAAAGTTTTTAAATAGGCTTAATAAAATGAACTTAGATATAATTATGCTACAAGAAGTTCATATAAAAAAACAACATCAATATTTATTAAACTGCCCTAAATTGGGGAACATGTTTGCGGCACTTTCGCAAAATCAAGAAAGGAGAAGTGGTAGCATATATTAAACAAGAAATTTTGGCTAAGCAAATTTATAAGGACGAAGATGGTAGAATCTTAATAGTGGAAATAATTTTGAATAAAATTAAAATTCTCCTGGTGGGAATTTATGCCCCGAATGAGGGGCAAAAACAATTTTATAAGAAACTTCACAACATTATTAATCAATTGGAATATGATAACATCTGTATAATGGGAGATTACAACACAATTGTGGATAGAAACCTAGATTATAAATGTGGAAAGAGTAGAAAAAGAACCAGAGGAACAATGCCTGATACATTCCTAAAAATGGCAGATGAGCTCAATATTCAGGATACTTGGAGAGAAAGAAATTTAGGGAAAAAACAGTTTACCTTCTACTCTGGACATCATCAATCATGGTCTAGAATTGATATGGTGTGGATGTCAACTGACTTAAATTTAGAAATAGAGGAGATTGTAATTGATATGAACTTCTGGGCTGACCATAATCCGATTAGAATTAGATGGAAAGGGCAAAAAAATATGAGGAGATGGATGCTGAAAAGAGCAATCCTAAAACATAAAGAATTCAAATTGAAATTGGAAGAACAATTGGACCTGTTTTTTAAGACAAATAAGAAGGAAGATACGAATTGCCAAAACTTATGGGATACAGCCAAAGCCTACATGAGAGGCGTTGCAATTTCTTACATGGCCAGGGAACACAAAATTAAAACACAACGACAAAGACACTTAGAAGAAGAACTAAGTAGAGTTAAGGAAAACTTGCAAAAGGAACCACAAAGATGCAATTTGAAACAACAGATAGACTTAATTAAGCATAAGATGAATATTATTGGGAAAGAAGAATTAGGACAGCAGATAAAACGTACTAAACAAAATTTCTTTGAAAATGCCAATAAACCAGGGAGATGGCTGGCTTATAAAATTAAAAAACACAACAACAAGCAGAGGATTACTAAATTTTATAATGCAGAAGGTGATATGGTGTACCAGAATGAAGGAAAGAAATTAGTGGCATATGAGTTCTATAAGAACTTATATAAAGATGATGAATGGAGAAATAATGATGACATTGTACAGTATTTACAATCAGCTGATCTACCGAAGGTGCCAGAAGAATTTAAAATTCTGCTGAACAAAGAGATAACACCTTTAGAACTCTTGGAGGCAATTAAGAAACAAAAAAATAATAAAGCACCTGGGCCAGATGGTATACCTGTAGAAATGTATAAAATCGCACAAGAATCTTTAAGCCCAATGCTGTTGGATCTATTCAATGAGGTTCTAACAAAAGCTAAAATACCAGCCTCATGGGAAGAAGCTCTCCTCATTTTGATTCCTAAGGAAAATTCAGACCTGGTGCATATCAAAAACTATAGACCCATTTCTTTATTAAATTCGGATTATAAGATTTTCATGGCTATAATGGTGCAAAGACTTGAAAGATTTTTAGCGGATTTTATACATTCTGATCAAAATGGCTTTTTATCTAAAAAATACATAAGAAATAATGTCAGGATTGTTTTGGACATATTGGAGTATTATGAAGTGCATAACGAAAAGCAAATGGGTTTATTTTTTCTTGACGCACAAAAAGCATTCGACAATGTGAAATGG